CGAGCATAGAACGGTGACCATGATGAAAATAAACCTTGCCGGCGATACGGGTTCACCACCATTTAATTTAAAGCGTCTGCAACGTGGTGACAAACAATAGTCAATTAATCAGTTTCGAACACTGCTTATCTTTTCGAGTCTAGGAGGACGACGTGTCAGACACTGTCTCCAACGTTCGCGATCCTATGCCAGCATTTCAGCTTCGGTTGTACATAACACCTTAGCTGAAGCCGATTACTTCGATACAGTTGCCCCAGGTTATTTTTGGTCGTGGGCAAGCAATAACAGTTTCGCCTTCTTTTTTTGGAAGCAGAACGTGCCAAAACCATCGCGGCTGTGAATTTTCAATTGAAAGAAGCAACAGATATAAACCAAGAGTTTCTAGGTTATATATACTCTGGAACCGAGACGCGTTAGCCCGGTGACTCCCATAAGAAAGCCTTGTTTAGCCCCATGTGCCTAGGATCGAAGTATTTCAACCACGGCCTAATGATCAAAGATGAGCATTGGCATAAAGTTCAACCTGAACACAGAAAGCTTAGTCCTGAAACTCATTTCTACTTTAGTCACAACGGCTCTTAACTGGTAGGAGAATGAGAAAGTACTGGGCTTTTGTTTTAAACACGTTTACACGCATGACGGCCACATTAATTCGGGCTGCGAAACATTCCACACAGTGCTGTTGATAAGTTACGGAAGATGTTAACAAAACAAAACCGTCTGCAAACAACACCTTCTCATCTCTATGTCTCCTACCCTAATACATTCGTCGCCCTAACAGCACCTGTCTATCGTACAAAGTTACAATACAAACAGGAGAGGGGACAAAATGCTACCTACCAGAATGCTACCAGAGATCAGTGTCAATGTTAAAAAGCGTAGACTTAATGTCATTTACCCCGACGCAGCATCTGCTTTCAACATATCGTGTCTAAATGCCTCATAACTAGCGGCCACCGATGCTATACATTTGCAGGCAGTCCACAACTTGCTGCGTGGGATTCAGTCAGAGTGAGAGAAGAGTTTTTTTAGAATATTCTGATCGTGCGTTGGTAGCAGGACCAGAAACATGACAAAAATTGTTTAACTGATCAACGCGCAATACAGTGGCCCATTGAGGTGACAGACCGACACAGAAGCTTCGGCTCATATATTACAGGCCTTCTTCAAGAAAAAAGTTGTGGATATTTCGAGCTATTACTGGGGTGATTAGAGCAACAACTTCAGGTCTGTTGGCTGAAAATGAACATTGCACTTGAGCTTAACAGCGACCGAAAATATCAACGTTCTCCATTACCTTGAATAAGACCAGTGACATACGAGTCAAAAGGTAGGTATTCTTTATCACACGTGTGTCAACGGTATTGTATGAGTATAATTAAATCACATTGTACTGTTTATTGACATTATTTTGGTTACAGTATAATATCTCAAACAATCACCTTTGGGAGATAGTGTTCAACGCTGAAACGATCGTCTTCGTTCAGGCGGTAGTCGCCCATTTCAACTTGCAGAGCGACGGCTGCAAGCTTCATTGCGACCGCAACGTCGCCGCACTGTAGACCACTGTCCATGATGTCGCGCCGCAGCTGCAGGTATACTTGATGCATGGTCTGTTCGGTCCTGAAACGGGCGGAACTCGGTTAGCAGCCCAAAGAATGAAACCAATGTGCAATCACTTGATGAACGTCAGTCCGATCGGATAATACTTGAGACGCAGGTACAGATGATAGACGGTTCGCACTCTGGATTGATCAGAATGGCGCCAACCGGGAGGTGCGAACCTGCCGATCTTCTGCTCTGGTTCGAGAAAGTAATACTCGCCATCTACAACGCCGATGAATTTTTTTATGGCAAAGATCAATCAGAAATGAAAAGGAAAATTTACTCACCTCGGAGGAAAGCCAAACCGAAAAAGTGACGTTCTGTAAGATTCGTATGCGTACTGACCACTTCGAATATGTCGTTCGCCACGCAGCCAGTTTTACAAGCGACGTCCACTCGCTGTCCATTCAGCAGGTCCACAACAACGCTCGTTGCATGAGACTTTCGGAAAAACTTTCGGTGCTTAAAAAACTTTACACGTCAAGGCAACAAGTTATTCCAATCGAAAGCAGAATTTCGCTAACTAATGCTTATTTTTTAAACAGGTAATAAGTAGAGATAGCAGTGTTTTGGAAAAAAGAAGCTCTCATTGTCACTGTACTACGAGTACACATGTCAGTCCAACAATGCCTATTACTTTAACCGTCGGGCAACATTATAGGTACTACTGGCACATGTGTCAACGTAACAGTATCATTAGTACGAAACGTAGTGCTACACCCATAGCACTATTTTTGAAAATACAAGAACGAGTGGAATGATTACCGTAAGCAAAACCCCTGTGGTAAAAACTGAAATATTAATAGAATTTGGCAAATATAAGCTGCGCCTAATAAGACATTTAGAATTTCTGCAGGCGGTTGTATGAGTATTATTACCAGTGACTGACAGTAGAGCAGTGTTTGCGCTCTTAGTTCAAATAATATGCACAGCAATGTTCTTATAACTCATACTGCGAACTGAAGCAATACTACTGTTATAAGCAGCACACAAGCCCCGGTTATGCTTGGACATTCTATCTCGAATATTTGTATTCAGTACTAAACGCTTTACTATAACGACTGCTAAGTGCAATGAATGTCATGACAGTACTGCTACTGCAGTTAGTATCTACACGAAGAGTACAAACATGCATAACAGTTAGGAATATATTATGCACAAGACGTACGTGAATGCCAGCTGCGTTTCGTACCTCACTGTTCAGCGCTTTTAGTGCAATACTAGGCATTTGACTTCGGTACAAAAACTCTGGTCCCACCATAACCTAAAATAACGAATAGCAGACGTGAAAATCAGAACATAAGTACAAATAAGTTATAAACAAGATTATGAACAGCTTTCGAAACTAAAATTTAAGGACGAACTAAAGCGAAACAATTTGCTTTTAGCGCTGAAAATAAATACAAACATCAGGGAAAGAAGATCTGCTTGAAGAAACTCAGCGCACTGCAACGAGTAAGTACAATACAGAGACGAGACTGCTACTTAGCCATATTTCAGTAACAAAATAGCATATTAATACACGATCTAACGTACCAATAAATGGATGAGTAAAAAATTCGGTTCAGAGGGAAATGAACAGTTTCCGAAAATCCTGTTTGCTGGGATCCTGAATCTAATCGTTTGCAAAAGCAGACATCGTGACTTGTGATGTACACTGCATCTGCAGGTTTTCAACACCTGAGCCATAGGACACCAGTTAATGCATGCCTACCACTACCCTGTTTTACGCCTGTCTGACACCTGCATGTTTCGATTTCCATGTAATAAATGGCCAACCGATTTGTCTAACAGGGTTAACCTATGTTTCGTGATTTCCACAACTACTAAGGTCAGTTGTTTTCAGAAAAAAACAGTAGTTCCTTATGTGACCCTGCCATTTATCCTTCATTATGCGCCAAATCAGTGCTGCCATAAACAGCTGAACCGTCATTCTTAGTCCTTCGTTAAAACAACTGCCTCCATGCCGTACAAAAACACTAACCTTACAATACAGATTTTTGTGAAAACATCTACCCCTTTCTCAGTCAAAATATTGGACAGATTTAAGTAAGCACTGAAAGTGAAAAGGATCCTCCAATTTACCTCTGGTCGAATAGTGCTACCGCTGGAGATGTCAGAGCCGAAATACCAAAAACTGGTCAACTTCCTGACATACTTCACCTCCCTGTTTCACTTGTAGATCAGTGCATTTCAAAAATGCCAGCTTATTGAAAAGACTATTTCAGAAAATGTCACGAGAGCATAAAGGACTTAATGCATATTACACAAAAACGACAAAAAAACAGTAAACTTCATACTGGACATTCCCGCATTTCCTGATTTTCAACAGCGGCGGACGGCGCAAAACCTGGACTAGCAGATGCCTTAGGCGTGTCGTCTAGAAATTCAAACAAATCAAATCAACGTTAATGAATCAGTAGACATTAAAAAATTAGGTTAAACAAACCATGTGTTCGTCGTTAAGCGTAAGTAAGCGTGTTAACGAAATGGGGACAATATTTACAACGATGCCAATGCCAAAATACAGTCATAGGTCAAAAACGAATAACGTTACAATACAAAACCATTCAAGGGAACGAAACACAAGAACAGTTTATGGACGATCAGAACTGCGCTGCACTACACCATGGTATACAGTTGTCCCCTTTGTTGAAGAGGCACATAAATACTCTCCGCCATGACGTCACAGTTTAAGGCCAAGTGGAGTAACGCATCATGCAGTAAAAAAGCAACACGGGTGAGATGCAAAGAGATATTGTACCTGGTTAGAATTCGCAGTACTACGTTCAGTACAACAGTGAGAAAGAAGCATCGTACTATTTCAGTACGGTTGAGCAGGACAATGCTACATGCACCACTTTCTCATCGAGATAACATACGAATCTCGCTAACAGCCTCAGCAGTAGCGTTTCAAAGTCATTCTTTGTAAACTTTGACCTTGAAAACTGCAATCGTTCCGACCGTTACCTATGAATGCCAAAGGGGGTCATTACCGGTCAAGCGAAAGGCTTATTAGTACGCCGATTAATATACTAGTCGCAGATACATCATGCTGTGATCATTAAACCAGATGCCAGTCAGTTTTCTCGTGTCCAGAAGAGTTGCTTCCTTCGCTTTAAACGGTAGGAAACGGCGAGAGATACTAGGGCTTGAAGCTGTTTACAGACAGCCATTAAAACAAATTCATGCGAACCAACTCTCTCCTTGGAGGTGATCGCAGCAATGAAGCGTACCATCGTTCGAACCCCACCATTTAAAACGTAAATATGAAAAGTATGGCAAAATAAAACTACGTTTCAATAACTGCTGTTTTTATTGAGTGGCTGAAAAGGAACAGAGTTGGTTCGATGGATACGACAAGACATTTGGGCTAGCAGATGCCACATGCGTAGCATCGTGGAACCCGATCACCCAGTCACTGAACTTCATTGCTACAAATGCCCTGAAAACCACCAAGAAAATGAGTAATTAAGAGGTGTTGGTAGTTGATGATGCATTTTCTATCATATCGATGGGATGTCAGGAACCAGATGTTGCTGTTTACGACTGAGCTTTCTCGGTCTGTTTGCCATTAGTATTCTAGCTGTATACATTCATTAAATGCTAAAAGCCGCAAAGATGTTCACATCCTTAAGCTAATAATCCAACGTTTGAACTCCCTTTCACTGTTCATACATAGGTGTTTTCGCAGTTTTCTCACATCTGACCAAACCAAGTTCATTTACTTTCCACGA